ATCCCTTCGTCTCGGAGGTTTAAGTACAAGTGAGTGGTCTCACTTCGAGTCAACTCACTGTCCTCCTAACTCTGACTGGAGTGATGAGCTCCGTCGAGAGACTTATCAATGTGTCGTTGACTTCGCAACTAGACCACATCAACTTTGAGGACTTTTCACCATGATCGGACCAGTCAACATCGTGGAAAAGTCCCTCAACCATAGATAGGCCTCCAGTTGGTTCTATACTATACGAGCACCAGACTGGGCCCCATGCCTCGTCCATACGGGCACGTCCTGATAACTCATTGGACTGTTGGTAATTTCGTCCCAACAATTTCTGCCCATGTCCGAGATAGTCAATCTCGCCTAGCCCATAGCTCCATGGTTACCCGTCTGCTTTACTTCATTCTACTTTTCAGACATGGCCTGAGGTCTCCTCTTATATATCCCATGAACAGCTTTCAGACGGATGGCCAGCGACGACCTATACGGTGTTATGAAGCATGCTTCGTTTTAACCGGTTTATACTGTGGTGACACCAGATTCCGGCAACTCTATTACTACATGCAGGGCCAATGGTGGGGCCGGAGGGGTGTGTTGGCTATGAAATCTTCAGGGTTTTCAGGAGGTCTGTGCGCGGGGAAGGTCTATGTGTTTATATGTGTAACAGTCTACCCCTCTGCTCTCCGCTCGCTACAGTCAGATCGGCTAACACCCTACCACTACCCCTCCCCCTCCTCCCAGTTATCGCCCACTGCCAGCTGGTCTCCTCCTTCCCTCCATAGTATTGCACTGCCACGTTGAAGTGGGTCTGGAGGGGCTCCCTTGTCACAGACTGTGACTAAGCAAGGCAGATTTTACATAGCTCGGAATTCCGAGCTATAGGTATGTTGGAATTTCACATGACGCACCCTAGTGCACCATAGGTTATTATGTGTACCTGTTCATGACTCACAGTTGTGAGTCACACGATGTTATGATTTTTCGCACATGACTCAAATTATGAGTCATGGCTTTCACTCAGGTGATGCGAGTTGCGCACCTGACTTGGTTATTGATTGGTTTTAGGTATGTTCAGCAGCGACTCATAGGAGTCAGCTGAGGGATTTCGCACGACTCATAGTTATGAGTTACAAGGTTCGCGTGACGCATAAGTATGAGTTACGCCAGGTGAAGAGTTACTATATAAAGGGTCACTAGGACCCCTAGTATTAGCTCTTCACACGTTCTTCTTGTTTATTTCCTACCTTTAAGTTATTACCAATAAAACCTACTTTTACACTCTTCAAGATTTATCTTAAGCAACTAAGGAATCACATTCCTTCCCACGCGAGAAAACTATTTCTCCTCCCACGTCGAACGAAAAGAGTCCTAGGCAAGGACTTGAGAAGAAGTAAGGAAATAGGCGCGAGCCGATACAAGTCAAAGGACTTAGCTATCAAGCCCACGTAGGCAAAGGCCTAAGAACTATCGTCCTGCCTAAAGAGAAGTATCGTTACCTGTCGCACTATCCTACTCGGTAGGATCTTCAACACCCCTATCTTAGCACACTTCAGGCATCTCTTCCTACTTTAATGAGTGGACTCACCCTTTGGGGCCCTATATACCTAGCTACTAATCTTTCTTTTATCTTCTCGGGATTTCCCAGTGGGTTTTCCTGGCCCTTCCTGCTTTCTTCTTGGTTAGAATTTCCTCGTTTGTCCTTCTAGCTGGGCTTGGGTTTCTTTTCTTTGAGGCGAGATGTGTGGTTGGCTCCATACCAGATGGGCTTGGGGGGTTGGCTTTTTCCTGTGGCAAGAGGAGGGATATCGGTTTTTTGTCGTCATAACTAGCGCTCCATACATTTTTTGTGCTCTAAACAAATAATCAATGAGTTAAACAAAAAAAAACAAAAACAAAAAATCCCTAGCTCTAAGTCTATCCTGCGTCTCCGCTACATCTCCGGTCCTTGAAAAATATTTCCTAATTGGGAACAACTCAACACTGTGGAATTATTACAAGTTTTCTGTAGCCTTGTACCCCCCAGCAGGGGGGTGCAGACTAATGCTTTTCATCCTTCTGCCCATTGGAGCTTCTTTTCTATTCTTTCCCTCATCTGGCATCTTGTCTCGGCTGGATGCGGGTGCTCGCACCACCCAGAGGGTCTCATTGTGAGGCCTCTCTCCCCTCTACCCTGCTTTTGCCAGGCCTCACTTAGCATCCACACAGTCGGCTTTGACACCTGGGAGATGGTTGAATGATCAGATGGGCTGGGGACCCTCTGGGCTATCTGGAGTGGCAGGTGGTGGGATCCCTTCCACTACAGTGACACTATCTCTTCCAGAACAAGGGACTACATGAGAGATGGGGTAAAATCTCAGCTACTCCAGTGACCCCAGTTGCAGCCTCCCACCATATCATTGACCATGATGTTTGTTTGCCTTGCCCTCTTCCTCTCCTCTCCTTCGGGATCGGTTGGTACTCTACTGCTAGGATCGGCTGACACCCTACTGCCCTGGCCCTGGGGCTCCACCATCACTGGGGAGGTAGTGCTTCAGCCTGCTCCTTCCACTCTCCCTCTGCGCCAGAATCACTTGGTGCTTCAATCACTTCTGCCGCTGTCGCGGCAGCCCTACATTTCCTTCATAGCTCTGATGTTACTACAGACATCATCCAGCCTTTCCATGACCAGACCCTTCATGGGTCAAGCCTACCCCCTCCTTCTTAGCAGTATCAGCTGCCCTCCTCTATCCCAGGTTGGTGGCATCTCTCGCCTACCCTCCTCCCTCCTTGCTTGCAGCCCACTCCTGGCCGAATGACAGCCTAGTCTCCCTCAATATTGCACTATCTCCTAGGTTGAGCTGGTCAACCCTGTTATGGCATCTCGCCAGGGTCCTATTGTGGGCCCGACAGGGGACATATTGGTTCGTGGACGCCTGTAAAGGCACTTGGGGGTTTCCTAATCTATTCTTTCCTTTGTCGCCATGACATGGAAGGGTTTTCTTCTCTCTCCTGCCTTCCCTGTAGGTGACAATAGTCGCCTTGCAGGGGGGAATGTCTGGTTAGGCCCATATCAGAGAATCTTGGGGGGGTGGTTTTGTTCCCTGGGGCGCGGAGGAATGTGTCTCAAATTAACATTTTGTTTTTGTCATAGCTAGCACTCCATGCAGGTTCTTGTACCTTAACAAAGAATATATGAGTAAAACAAAAGAAAATGCCTAGCTTCAAGACTATTATCAGCAACCATGCAAGAGATCTTATTAATATATTCGTTTGACTTTTCTTCTATCTTCACGAGCCTTCTTGACTTTCTCTGAGACAGAAGATTACAGGACCTAGTGTACTCTTGCTTGACTTTAGAGTTACCTACCCCCTAACTGTCACACTGACAAAGTTTGAAAGAGTCAATCAGAATGGGCTCCTGGCTAAAGAACCATTTCTACTCTGAAGTTATCCTCATGACAGGGAACACAGAACACCTGGAGCATGGAGCCGCTACAGGAGAATCTGGGCTGGGGAAACCTTCGCCATGTCACCGGCAGGGGCCCAGGAATAGCCTGCCTGGACTTTTTTCCTGATATCCCCGCGGTGAGTATAATTGCTACCATGCGCAGAGCTCCAGGAATGGTCATGGAAATGGCAGCTAGTATTGGCTCTCCCCACGGCTCCTCTAATATACTGTAAATATTGGCCAGGATAGAGCAGCTTGCAGTAATTGGTCCAGACCCCATACTGCACTGTGGTACGAGGTTTCTCACATTTCAATTTCTTATGCCTAATTCAGGGGGGAGTGGCGGGGTATGATCAAGAATGATCTCTTATGTTGCTAGGGTCAAAGCTTGGATAGCGGGCTTTCTGCTGCTCCCGTTAGGAGGAATTCTGATGAAGATTTTTGGAATCTGGTACTGTGCAGTATTGGATCACAGCTTTCGAACCAGCCTATGGGTCTACTCAATCATGGGTAATGCTTAGGATGTGGGTTTTTGGTCTACCGTAGTGTTGAGATAGCGTTTGCACTCCAGAGGCTTGTCACAGCTCCCCTCGAAGACCTAAGACCCTGAATTGGAATAACACTAACCCCCTTCTTCCTAAACGCCAATCAAAACATTATCAAGACCAAGGCAAATGGCCCATCTAGGCTTAATCTTACCAAAGGAATAGTCCCTAGGTGCTTAACCTATAAGTGTTGGTAGTTGACCGTCTGGTATTTTTAGGTTTGTCTCCACATCAGTGTGCTGTTTGCAGCCTTAGCGGAGTTATCATAACCGATAAAGAGAATTTGCACCTTCGCTATTAAAGGTACAATACAGGCGGATAATTTGCCTCTTGCTGTTTTTCCTCCTCCTACCGGCGGCAAGGGAACCTCGCGGGTACAGGCCCCATCGGGGGAACATTGTTTGCTGTACCGGGATTATCAGATAAACTGGTAGCTACTATATGAACTTGAATAAAAGCAACACTGCTCGGGACGCCTAGGTTTCCCCTCTTGGTAATGCGTGGTTTTATTTTGCTGGTATGTTCTCCCATCCCTACCAAAGTAGGCAAGTCAGACATCCTGAGATGTGTTGCTCTTATTCAAGTTAATACGGTAGAGTGATCCTATATGATCACCGTAGCAGAGTTGCTGCAAATGTCTCCTGTGGGCTGTAATGGATTTGGTGGTGAGACTCATGTGCGGAAGTGCAAGGCGGGGTCAAGCTAGCTATTCACTCCCGCTTGTGATATGACGACTACCGATTTACTGGAGGTTGAACATCCTAGATGGATTTCGATTTGTCCGGGGCTGCAGAGACGTTGGACCTGGTTTTCATACTTGAACCGATGGGTGGAGTCTGGGGCTCGGCCCGCATAATAGGAAGATTTATTTTTTTATTTTTTATGCGAGCGGGGGGCACAGCGCTGATCTACAAGTTCCCTGCATGTGTGGAGCGAACAAAGAGGAGATACCGGGGGCTGATAATCCGTTGCCAAGACCCCCCCATGTTCGCTCCGCACATGAGGGGGACTTGTGCGTTGAACTGGTACTGCGCGGGAAGGGTATGGAAGAGGAGGGCTACCTAACGAGGATCTTCTCGAATGCGTTTGTAGCGTTTGTGCCCAGGTTTGAGGTTGAAGGCTTGATCCGTGCGAGGGATTTGGGGCTGGTTGACCCAAAGTCTGGGTGCAATGCCAAGGATTCTAGACTTACGGTTGAGTGGTCGACTAGGAGTTGATCGTTGGCATTGTTTGATTGGATTGTGGTTAAAGTTATGGACAAAGTCAAGGAGTGCACAGGAAAGCGGAAGATCAAGATGACGCTCATGAGTGTTGAGGGTCTGAAGCTGGAGTGAATGAAGGGGTTAGAACTGCTACAGATTATTGTTTTTGTTAATGATAATAGCCGTTATAATATAAATAATCTGTTTCTACATACCGGTAATCTATAGCCGTGAATTCTGTTACCTCAAGTTAAGCCTGGATCTTGCAAACCCTGACCTTCCCAGCTGCATTCCCAATAGCTACAATTCATGACTCTTTCCCTGCCTAACCTATCACCTTGGCCCTCCCTAGGGTGGTCCCGGACGTGGGCCAATTTTGGTAAACCGCACAACCTGGCAAATGCACTACAAACACCATTCATTATTAAGTAAGCGAAAAAAAGGAGGGGGGGAACGTAAACGTACCCATCCTCAAAGAGTCCTGCTTCCCTTTACTGGCTACAGTGAGGACTTGAAGATCAGGCGAGAGCTTGATGACGCCAATGGCCGTGGTCAATTGCTCAAGTGCCCTTACGGGCTTTGGATTCTCCTTCGTTCGACCAGTGAGAACATGGCCACTACCACCGGAGCTCCTAGGGCGATTATACACACTTATGATCCCGCTCTGGCTGCCGATGGTGATCCACCTGGCCCCACCGTTCTTGAGAACCATAGTTGCGTGTCCAACCTCGTCTTTCTAGCGAGCGATCTCTTTTTCCGAGAGCACATCGAATTCCCATACCACGCCTGCGTTATTTCATATCGGCAGGCCGTAACTGTCACCCCACCAGGATATGTCAGCAACTCGGCCTTCAATTTTTGCGGTACAGACCCGCGGGCATGTCATTGCGGTCAGATTGTTGACGAATCCGTGGCTGGCGGCGAGAGCCATGAATTTTCTGTCTGGGGAGATGCAGAATGTCTCCATTGGCCTCTGCGTCTCCGCGTAGCCGCATATCCGGGTCACTTTTTGGATAGTGCCTGTCGAGAGGTTCCCCATGTGGAAGAATTTTCACCTCCCAGCGGCGATTGTGCTGGTGCTAGAGGAGTGGAAGTGGGCTGTTGAGATGGGGGTGTTGCGCAGGTGAAGGGATGTAGCGGGGGTCGTGGACTCATGGTTAGTGTTGTGCATGAGCCGAGCGGACTCGAGCCAGGCTCGAGTCTCTTGGCGCTACTGCCGCTTATCCGTCAAGCCATCGAAACCTCCTACCGCTGCAACTCCATGTCTCATATACCACCACCTCCGACTACCACCCCCCGCCTCCTACCACTACCAATGCAGTACAAAAAAGCGCAATTGCATGGTAGGTAGGACTATCTGATTGCTTATGCTAACCAAGGCCTGGCTTGGGCTACCAGAGGTGGAAACATGGGAAGAGGTAGAGGAAACCCGTGGGGAAGATGGGAACTATGAGGCAGACACAGAAGGAGATGGTGAACTTCCCCAGGAATTGGACTCGGGGATAGTGGGAAGGTTATTTAGCTAGTTGTATTTGTTTTCAAGTTGCTATATACAATTTTTGGTTGATTTGAATGATTGTGGCAGTGTGTAGAGGTATCGTGGCCACTCTAGACTCAAGCCTCTTGGCGGCTTGAGCCGGCTCATGAACAACACTATAATTGGCTCCTTGATCGTCGGTCTCTTCAGGGTACGTTATCCCTGACCTTACGAGTAGATTTTTACTGTTACTAATACTATACCTTATAGATCAGTTTGTTTGCTGTAAAAAAAGCAATAGATTTTTACCTCCCGCAAGTTGCTCCAAAGATCACCACGGTAAGGTCTATAGAGAAATGACTCGATAGCAGATGACTTATACAGATTATTAACAGAATAGCGGAAATGACTCCTCCGAAGCGCCAGTTAATGGCACTCCAGTGAGGGAGGGGAGCAAGGGGGGCATGTGGTGTCGTCTTTGGTAAAGTGGCCGATGAGGCTGGCATGGAGATTGTGAGGAAGATGGAGTTGAAGTTTTTGAGTAATGCGGGGGGTGGTGGTATTATTTTTAATTATTAATAATGCCACCTGTGTATGCCCAATGCCGAATAGGAAAATAGAAGAGGTTTCCCTCCAAACAAGAAAGTTGTTGTATTGGCCCAACTGCTATGAATTGTGTTCAGGAATTTTAACTTCAACTCGTTACAATCACCCCCCTTTAAATTTACAACAATTGCAACAGCATCTCCTTTTCAAAGATAATCTATCAGATTGAGGATGTCTTTCAGAGCTGGATTGAGAGTTGTCGGTGGTAGTCGGTTTAGGCTCATGAGCATTTATCGGGCCGGTTCAGGATTGAATAGTACTGGGTGTATTAGATCTGACAGTTCATACTTCAGTATACTAATTTGATTGTCTGGTACAGCCCTGGAGGTGTGACGAACAGGGTGGGAACAGACAATGTTGCAACAAATGGGGGGGAGTTGGATCAAAAAATGATCAAGGGGCTGGGACACACTTTTTCGAACCGGAGGGCTATAAGATAATAGAAACCCTTCTAACAAAACAATAAACAATGACATTTGAAGCTCGTTGGAGGAAAAGAAACAAATTTTTAATAAAACAGCTAGGATTATTGGGTTTGGTAAATTTTACTCCTCCTTTCCTACTTCCAAACAATGAATATTTCATGTTATTTTTGCTTACCAAGACTTTAAAGGACCCACCCCCTTCTATCCCCATTTTCAGAAGCCCTGATTCAGCCCCACCCCCTTCTAACCCCCCGAGTTCTATTACTGAAGGCCTTCTTTACAACACTGGGAACAGAGACCGAGAGCCAAATCTGTACCGAGACCCACCAGATCCCCCAGGATCTCCACGATCACACGCGTGACAAGAGACCCAATAAAATCAGTTCGAGGTTTACTAAGGTTGGTCCCATCAGAGTTGTCCATGATGGGTTCTACAGACTCGGACACGGCGTGATCGGGGGCGTTAGGACTATAACTGGGGGTGTAAGGCGGTTGAGTGGCCAGGTGGAAGATCACATACCCAGTGCGGCGTACAGATATCAAGGGGGTGGCGACGATTCGTCGACGAACCTCCTGTTGCTGGAAAACTAGCTCCATAGCAACTTCGCGAAACTGGTGAAACATGGGAACCCGAAACTGGTGAGGATGGAACACAGAGAAAGAGGGGATCAACATTTGCTCGCAATGAAGCTGTGTCTAGGGAGAATGGTAACGGCAGTCCTCAATGGACTCAGACCCTACCTACCACTGATCGAGCAATACCGGCGTTGCCAATCCTCACCCTGTGGGAAGTCAGCAAGCAGTAGGCAGCAGTCGATGCACCACCTCGATGGATGTTTTGGAACAAGACCCAAAGTCAGTGACGATCATGAGAACGACGATGATGAAATCCCTTCAACTACAGTTCACCTACATCACTGCATACCACTTGTTCTATGGATTTACGGGCCAAAGGTCCTAGCAAGGAATATCCCAAGGCTTTCAACGAGACATACGCTGACGACAAACACGGAGACCCATTGTGGACGCAGTACCTTTCATCAAACGATAGGCCCATGATGACTCTGCCCCCTTTTGGTGTGAAATGGTTACCTTCTCTCCCACTCATTGGGAAGAAGGTGGACACAATCTACTATTGTCGGAAGGAGGTTGCCCGTCTCAATGTCGAGATAGAGCAGGACCAGAGTGCACCAGTACCCACTCATGAACTCTGCTTTTATCCAGTTCAACCAGCAAGTTGCCGCCACGCATATGGCCTGTCAGTCGCTTTCTCATTACATCGCACAGCAGATGTACCCTTGCCACATTGAGGTCTCTCCCGAGGACGTCATCTGGTCCAAAATGAAGATTTCTTGGTGGCAGAGGTAATTTGCGCATTGCCGGTATTACTATAGCTACAGGCGGTTTGATCGTTGGATGGGCTTTCCCGGTTGCCATTATTGGTTTGGTTTCTCAGATTAATTATTTCACGGAAACGGTCCCATGGCTGGGGTGGATTGATAAGCTTCCCAATTTTGTTCTTGGTCTGGTCCAAAGGTCTGCTCCAAAGTGTTTTACCTCCAATGGGTTTGGCAATCTTGGTGGCATTGTTGCCCATTATCCTTAGTGCATTCGCGGAACTTCAGGGAAATCACACTAGTATGGCCATCGCGAAGGCTGTTCAGGAATGTATTTTGCTTTTCTGTTTATTCAGACTTTTCTCATTGTCAATTTCTCATCTGGCATTACCGCCGTTCTCCAGCAATTAACGGATAACTCTGCATCTGCGCCATCAATTTTGGCCCAGAACCTACCGAAGGCGTCCAACCTCTGCTTCTCAGAAGCTGCTACTGCAAGCATTCACTGCTAGCGGTGGAGCAATTCTACAAATTGGATCATTACTCCTACAATTCATTTCTAGTCTAATTGTTGACTACCGCTCGTCACGAGTTTACCCCGGCGGCACAGCTTGGGCAGGCGAAATGGGGCACTCTCTTCCCGGTACATCTGGATTTGGGGCGCGTTGGGGTTGTTGACGCGGCCATCTCCCCATTGGTTCTCATCTTCAATGCCTGCACGTTCAGTCTTTTCTGGAAAATATATCGTTACAATCTTCTCTACGTCAACAACTTTCTCTTCGATACAGGAGGTTTGCTCTTCCCCAGGGTGGTCAACCAGTGGTTTACAGGAATATATGTTATGGAGGTTTGTTTGATTGGTCTCTTCTTCCTTGTCCGGGATACCAAAGATCGTGTGTTTGCTTTCCTCGAGCAATTATCATGATCGTTGTCACGATCTTTACTGTCCTATACTAATATACTTTGAAGTCGGCTTTCGGTCCATTTTTAACCCACTTGCCCATCACTCTGGAGGATGGCGCTGTTCTCCGCAGTGGAGCATTGGCAGAAGATGACGAAAGGCGAATACTGTTGGCTAGCGGCAACATCGTTCCGGAGGAGCAGGAATACGACGGTCTCAATGAGGTTTTTGCAGAGTGGAAAAAGGGAGAGCGGCGCATGGGTCAGCGTGCGGATGAGATTGAAATGAGGAAAATCCGCAACATCCGCGAAAAGAAGGAAGGAAAGTCATCATTCTCAAGAGGCGGAAAACAGGCCAAGGGGCCAGACACCAGAGACCCACAAATGAAATCGCGTCCTGCACCGCCAAAGCAACAGCCGCATACTAGACCGGAGCTAATGTTGTTTGGAGACATTTACCGACGAGATTGAAGACTTGTCGCCAGCAGAACGGGACATACTCGTTGGTATGGCATTCCAACACGAGGCTCTCCGGCGCAACACCCAGTGACCCGGATACCAAGAGATGATCTGGTATTCCTGGCGATGTGATCCGGTCCAGGCATAGGTTTAGTGACAATGTCTGGATTAGTGTTGTTCACGAGCCGGCTCGAGCCGCCAAGAGGCTTGAGTCTAGAGTGGCCATGATACCTCTACACACTGCCACAATCATTCAAATCAACCAAAAATTGTATATAGCAACTTGAAAACAAATACAACTAGCTAAATAACCTTCCCACTATCCCCGAGTCCAATTCCTGGGGAAGTTCACCATCTCCTTCTGTGTCTGCCTCATAGTTCCCATCTTCCCCACGGGTTTCCTCTACCTCTTCCCATGTTTCCACCTCTGGTAGCCCAAGCCAGGCCTTGGTTAGCATAAGCAATCAGATAGTCCTACCTACCATGCAATTGCGCTTTTTTGTACTGCATTGGTAGTGGTAGGAGGCGGGGGGTGGTAGTCGGAGGTGGTGGTATATGAGACATGGAGTTGCAGCGGTAGGAGGTTTCGATGGCTTGACGGATAAGCGGCAGTAGCGCCAAGAGACTCGAGTCGGCTCGTGGACCCCTGTTCGAGCCTAGTGACTAGTGACCACCTAGGCTCGAGTCCGCTCGGCTCGTGCACAACACTAGTCTAGATTAGCAACGAAAACTTTGGTCTCGATCGCAAGGGTGGAGTGGTGTACAAGCACCAGATTTTGACCAGCGGGATTCGGTGAAGCTAGAATCCAAGCAACCAACTACCAGTTATTTTATATTCATTTTTTCCCATCATTTTGGTTTCCTCTATTTTATTCGATCGGCGTTCTGTTTCGCGATGAGTGCAGCATTATGCATATTTTTAACTTGAGTGATGATGGATGATGAAGTTGAGGTTAAGGGAAGAAGGGAAATTTGGGACGTTTCCTTACTTAGTACTATATTGGTATCATAACAACTTATAGGGTTGGCTTTTGTTGTATTGAAGGGATTGCGCCGGGGCTCGTAACACCATTGCCGTGCCCACGCTGAAACTGGGCTGATGACGAACGGCAAGGTATTTGGAGGGCAAAAGAGAAATGGTCATAGGAGGGCAACAAAAAATTACTTGTTACTTATCCCTGTTCGTCATTGGCCCAATTTCATTGCAAGTACGGTTAAAGCTATACTAGTACTCCGGGGTCCTTGATGGCGATCTAAGCATTATTTGATGGGACGATAATGTTTCCTGCAAAGGGATACAAAGCTACAAAAATCGAACTCCTTGACTAGCTGCCTCGAAGCGACACCCAACCGAACCAGCGAGACCCAAGGCCCAGAAGGAACTTTCATTATATCAATGAATTTATTTAGAATTCGGCTTATTCTGTTGTTATTATCATGTTGTTATGGGATATCATACCTGGTAGCTTAATTACTCCCACTTACTACTGTCTCCAAAAAGACCTCCGGTTTCCATAGCCACTAGAACAAGAATAATACCCTCGTCCAAGGTGTTGAGTCACTTGATCGCTAAAAAGACTTGAAAAATCCGGTTTTTTGACCAAGTTTAGTTAGGTGTTGCCAAATCTGGCCTTTACACAACTGGCTGGGAAATTGAATATTCCAGGTGGACGAAGGAAGAATGCCGGGACTAAGAGCGATGAATGACATCAGACATCATCCCGCCCATGGCACCCATCCAACTTTAAAATGTGAGGCTCTTTTCACAAAGACTAACGTGATCCCGCCCTGCGCCAACCATCCCGCTGCTAGGAAGCTTCCTTCCACCTTACCCTCTCAACGCTGTTACCTAACCTAAAGGAAGACAGAAAACCTTTCAAAAAGAAACAAACGGGTGCTGAACTGTCCACCCATGTCGATTCTGATACCCCTCCAGAAACACTCTCCCACCGGGACATTCCTGCAATGGCGGAATTCATCTTCAGCGGGAAGTACGAAAGGATAATCTTTCTGATACTATACCCCTCTTTCCCAAAACCCCTCCGCCACAAGCTAACATGTCCCATATAGTACCGTGCCGGAATCTCCACCTCCGCCGGCATTCAGGACTTTCGCACACTGGGTACGGGCCTCTACTCCAACCTCCAAACGCTAAAGCTCCCTCACCCGGAGGCAGTCTTCGATACAAGCTTCTTCCGGACCAATCCCCAACCTTTCTACACCCTCGCGAAATCCCTACACCCCGGCCAATTCACCCCGACGATCACACACGCCTTCATATCGCTAACGGCAAAGAACTTGCTTCACAAGTGCTTCACCCAGAACATAGACACGCTGGAACGCGCCGCGGGGGTTCCGCCGGATAAGCTCGTTGAAGCCCACGGCTCGTTCGCGGGGCAGTCATGCATAGATTGTCACGCCGAGTACCCGGCCGATAGGATGAGGAAGCACCTTCTCGCCGGAAGTGTGCCCCAGTGCGAGGCTTGCACCGGGTTGGTGAAGCCGAATATTGTATTCTTTGGGGAGAGCTTGCCGAGGGAGTTTCACATAGGGCTTAGAATGGTCGAAGAGGCGGACTTGGTGATCATGATGGGGAGCTCATTAAGTGGTTACCCGTTTGCGGCACGTCCCGGACGGGCGAGGGAGGGGGCGGTCGGGTTTTAATCAACAATGAGAGGGCGTTGTGTATTTGCTAGGCGGGTGTGATCGGGGGGTGAGAAGGCTGGCGGAGGAGCTGGGGTGGACGGAGGAGCCGGAGGAAGTTTGGAGGTCGGTCGGAGGTGCGAGTGATAAGGAGGCGGAAGCGCAGGCCGAGAGCAGCGAGGCTGCCGAACCGGTAGAAAGCATGGATGTGAAAGTTGGCTGTCTAACTAAAGATGTTGAGCGTAGCCTATCCGTTGTTGACGACTGGAAGGACAACGTCATGAAAGACCTTTCTACCCAAGAGACACGGATCGCTAAAATGGTCGAGGCTGACCTTCGAGGGGAGAATGGCGAAGTTAGCCTCGTGGACCAGAAGAAGCTTGGTGGGGATGCGGCCGACTAACCAACTGGTTCTTCCGAGGACGGGACTAACCTCGATACCGCCGCTCGGGAGCCGGAGCATCTGGTGGGGAAAGTTGGTAGCGCTGGGGGTGAATGATTTTCCTAAATGTGGGATATGGAGATGAGGAAGTTTGAATTGACAATTTTAGCTATTCTTCCTTTTTCGGTCCTCGCGGTATGCTCGTTGGTCAGTTGTTTTTGTTGAGCAATAAGTACGGATAATATACATTGGCTTTTTGCATTAGACTTTCTGTTCATGGGGTGCTATGATACCAACATGAGACTGTTATACTGTACAGTACAGTATCCGCCGTCATGAATAATCACTCGCGTCAAAACTTACGAGGGTTGGTTGTGTGGTTATGAAGCCCGTATATGAATTCTGCATCACACTACTCCATCATATACTTGAACTATTGATGCCCTTCCACCTTCCCGTGCCTTGCACACCCCCAATCCTGCTTCTTTTCATTTCCTCATGACCGACCAACCCTGCGGCCTGCTTGCGTGCACCCCATTCCCTTCCCCCAACGACGCGTGATTACGGCACCGACAACCCCAAATCCACAGCGGGAAGGATAACTTAATAATAATACTATCATGGAATTGTAGGGGAAATGTTCCGCTTACCCGGTATGGTACACGGGGGTAGGTAATCGAACCCTTAGGAGCGCTGCGAGATTCATTCCGAATCGCTCGTTGGCGGGAAGATTGACGTACTTGGCGAGTTATAGACCGGTGACTTCATGGTAGAGGGAAGAGTGAGAAACAAGGAAGGTAGCCAGAGACTGTGGTGTTTGTCGGGACTGTAAGGGGAGGGAGGGGGGTGGGGGTGGGACTCTCTCGGGCGCCAGCCGTCGTATAGATCCGCACATCATTTTCGATATCGGATCAGATTTTGGCTAGAGACGGGCATTAAGGCTTGGGGCTTGTGGCGGCACACATGGCGCCACATCCGGAAGGAGCGGGAGTGGTGGACAAAATAGTGTGTGTAGAAGGGACTGGGCTCATGGTACGGTAGCCGAGGGTAAAAGCGAACTAGCGTGAGAGGAGAGGAATAAAAGGGAAAAAAAGAGAA